GAATTGTGATTCATAAATCATAAGGAGCACATGAATTAATATACAGAGACTTTTGTTAATGTGTAATAATTCCAGAAAGAAGACATAGTTGTCAATGTAACAGGAAAATCTCAAATCTCTGTAGGAAAGTAATCTAAAATACATAAAGCTGTTACTGAACTTTCATGTTTGATTATCAGATTTCCTAAAAGCCATAGGTAGCGTATTTCTGTAGAATATAAAATCAGGTTCAAAGGAAGAGACAGCCTATACAATATTAATTTAAAAGCTGGAACAGTGTTTGACCTTGCTCTGTGAGACGCAGTTGTTCATTTGACAAGTTAGAGATTCATATCTGTCTGGATTTGTGAGGTTGTTAATGAGACCTAAGCTTGCAGATGAAATTTGGTTTACTGCAGGATATTTTTAAGGCTTGGAAAATTTAGCAGTACTTTGTTTGAGACCTCACAACAACCAGAGACCTGTAATCACATTTCTGCTGTGGGTTGGGATCTAACCATGCAGATCATCAGCTCCCTACAGACGCAGTGCAATAGCATTGACATTGCTCTTTAGTGCTTAGGGAAACGAAATATTACTAAAATTTTCATAGATTCAACGTTCATTTACCAACTTTTTGCTCCTTTAGGGGAGAGTACTGCAGTTTAAAAGAAAAATATTGTTCAGTAGTAGAATTCTTTAAAACAGGATTAACTTTCAATCTCTGATGTCTGTGTTGCAGTTATGCAAGTGTGCATGTTACAGAGGTCATTTTAGCCAGGTAAGTAGGGGCTTGGATAGCAACCAGTCAGTATTTACAGTACACTTGCCAATACTGAAAGTCCTCCATCTGAGCTTCTCTTCTCTTTCTTTGTATTCATCCAATGTAAATAATGTAGAAGGTATTCTATAAAAGAAGTCCGAAGTGTTATTTAAAAAACATACTGGTGCTTTAATAGGGGTGTGAATAAGTCTTAATTTTACATTTCTGTTGAGGGTGGGTCATAGTGGGCATAACATTTATACTCCAGTTGATGGACTCCCAGCTGCACCAAAGTCTTTGGCAGAAGACTTAATTTAAATGGGGTAGGATTTCAGCCAGTAAAAGTTGTAAAAGTAAAAGTTGGCTATTTGTATTTCATGCACACATACAATGCCACTAGATTAAGATTACTGATGCTTTAGAATTTCTTGTCAGAGATTTTGGAGAATGGTTTAAATAGAAGCTAACTATTTCCAGCTTGGTTCTTTATAATATAAGGACAGTTTAAAATAGTATAGCTTTAGGTGACTACTGCTGAACTATCAATTTGCTCATATGTTTTTGTTTATATTTCTTGTATTCATGTCTTACATGGGCAACTGTAAGACATTTACAGAGGAACAAGTGAATAATTCCTACAGTGTGTTTGTATGAGCAATGGCACAAGCCCGCATTAGGATAATTTGTAATAAATTTATTAAATGCTACTAGATGTAGGAGCATTAGTATTTAATGTGAGAGATTATTTCACTCGTTTCCTGAGAATTGCAGTACTGAAATAGCCCACACTCAAATACTGGCAGCATTGCCCTTGGTATTTCAATGAATGACAGTGAGAGCAATCAGAGCAACGAGAGGAGATTTTTTAAAATAAGCCTTTTGCGGAAGGAAGATTCACTTCTCTTCTCTGCTTGAAACCCCACCTTTTATCTGTGTTTGCCCTGGGCAGCAAGTTCAGGAATAACTGCCTCTTGGTCACATTTCATGAGCCAGATTTTCCAAAGAGAGTCTGATATTCAGCCATTCAGCATACTGGGATTTTTAGGCAACCCCAGTTTGTTTGTGAGCAGTGCCTACTTCAGATTGTGTCACAGTCTGTTGCTTGCATTTCCCTTAAAAATCACTAGAGAGAAATAAATGGCCATCAAACTGGAAAAACAACTTGTATTTCCAGATAGAGTTGTTCAAGCTTTTGATTAGAGCATTATTAAGTAATTAAAATGTTTGCCATAATTCATTCATGTCTTAGTTACAAAAAGGAATGAATACGCTTTAATAATTAAACATTGTGGGCATGAGAACAACAACAATGCAGAAAAAGCAAGCCGTCATAAATCCATTCTCAGTCCTTGTGGCAAGAGGTGGGGTACTGCGAAGGTCCCACCTTCATGGTCTTTCCTCCACGTCTCAAGGATTTGCTTGCATGCTAGTGTCATCATTTAACATCTTCCTGCGACAGGTTATCATCACACCAAAGGGATTGTCCTCTAAAATGTCCCATTTAACACAGTTGTCCTGTGTGGCATATGTAATCCTAAAAAGCCTCCCGTGCCGGGTTGAGAGATATATCTCCCAGCTCAAATGTCTTCCATCAGACCTGGAGCTCCTGTTGAGGCTCTCTGTCCAACCCTATCATGCCACCCTTCCCATATTTTTCCAACAAGAACAAGGCATTCTTCCTCATTAGAGGAGAGTCTACCACTCTCCCTCTGTTGTTTATTTTTTACTGGGCAGGGCTGTCCAGCATCATTCCCCTCTGCTCCTTCTCTGGCTCACAACCCTCTCTGGTTTCCAGGTTTGGAGCATTGCACAAGTAAGGTCTTCAGCTGTGGCACTGTCACCTCATTGGCCTGGAGGAGCGCTCTGTCAGTCTCCAACCTTCAGTCTATGTTAAAAAAACTATCTCCTACCCTCTTCACTTTCAGCCCTCATTAAGGACCTCTGTTAGACCTGAGGTCATCTTCTGCCTCAGTCTTAATCCACCTTCCTAATGGCGTCAAACCAGAAGACCTCTCTTCTGTCTCAGAGGAGATGGATCCATTTCCTACCTATCTAAGGCATAAGCAAATGTAGGGTGGAGAAAGGTGAAGACTTTAAAAGCAGTCCGTACATTAAAGATCATCACATAAAATGCAGCAGGTGTGGGAGTCTTACTGGTTAGGAGATTGGAGGTCAACTTGTAATTTGACACAGACAGTGGGATAGACGTTTTAATGACAGGTTGTATCGTGTTACTGCTAACCACTACAACCACCAGTTGTAGTTCACTTCACGTCTGTGAGACCTTACGACATTTATCCTAGTCCTGGTGCAGGGAGTTCACAAGCCCTTTGGGAAGCCATCCTACTGGAGCGGCTGCTGGGTGGAAATAGCTGAAAGTGAGGATGGGAGAAAGTAGATCCATGGATCTGTGTCCATCTCTATTGCTGTTCAGGAATTAAATTACTTTGATTTCAGGATAGTGGCCTGAACATTACCCCAGGAGAGGCATTGTGATAAATTTTGCCAGGTAAACATGGCCTTTCTTTTCCTGAATAAGAATACTTTGGAGCGCCTCATGGGGAGCACTTAAGTGTTTGGATAAGATACATTCCTTAGCTCATGTGTTTCTGCCAGTGAAAGCTTTTTATTTAGGAGAGAAGATTAAACTTTGCAGTATTTTGCCAAAGAGGATATGCACCAACACTCATTTACATAATCAAATAAAAAGAAGTTATTATAACATTAGTAAAAAGAATTGCCTAATCAAATCCTTTTGAAGCCTTTCTAGTTGACCCCCTAAATCACTAGTTATTCTTTTAACAGTTGCAGCCAATGTAGTTAAAACATCATTGTAAAATAAGGAAATTATAACATCAAAAGACAAACAAGATGACACAATGGAATGAAACGTTGATAGTAATCAAGAAAAGCTCTATTCACGGAAGAGCCTAGACTTAAATATATGTCTCTGCAATAAGGAAAAAAGTGCAAGATTAATTCATGTAGCTGAATAAAGTGATCTCAGGCTGGCAGAAGAAAAACAATCTCTTAATTTTGGGGTACAGGTATGACCCGTGCTGGTGGTGCTCTGAACAGTATCCTGAATGAGTCCTCAGGTAGTGTTTCCTGGTATCAAACATCAAGCTTGACTCTCTATGGTATATAAAATATTTCATTTGATTTAGGCACACCAAGCACAGCTTTTTTTTTTACTTTGAATTCAGAAAAGATCGTTAATATTATTTCTAACAGGCTACTGCAGGTGTTTGGGTTTTTTACATATAAATAAATAGAAGGGAAAAAATGGCTTCACAGAACAGTTGAGGTGTGAAGGGACCTCTGGAGGTCATCTGGTCCAACTCCTGCTCAAGCAGGGCCACTTGGAGCCAGTTGTCCAGGACTATGGTCCAGCCTTCTATAAGCTCCATTGCATGTCAATAAAGAAACCATGGTCATGATAATTAATACGCACATAAGGTTGTGGGGTGTATATTGGTATGCTTGCCCTAACTTCCAAAAGACCCCACAGGGTCATGCCGTAACCGTGTGGTGTTCTGGCTGGTTGTGTAGGGTTTAAGGCCGTACATGAGTGAGTGTGGAGCGGAGATGGTGGTTGTCCGAACTCAGGTAAGACAGTCAGCTTTGTGTGTGTCAGCACCAAAAGGACGTCCTTCCCATTGCACAGAGGTTCAGAAAGCGGTTGTTTTCCTGCTTTGCCTTTCAAATCCTTTTAACTGGGAGAGGGGAAGGGGGGCTTG